AAAAGAGGAGATACCCCAAACTTTCCGCTTCCTTTGGAACTCTGTACAAAAATTTTTGGGGTGGGGGGGCCCCCTTTATAAAATTTATTTAATATAATATTTATAATATATATATATTATATTATATATATATATTATATATTATATTATAATATAATATGTTATACATAAAATCGAAACATTTTTTTTGTATGTTAAGGGGAAAATAAGGGGTTTATGTTTTAAAGTTTTAATAACAATATTTTTGTTTTAGTCACATTCCTTTTGAAAATCAGTATTTTAACGGCCTAAAAACGAACTTTGAGCAGTCGGATCGTAATAAGTAAAGTGTGCTTTTTTATTTTTTAGCATTACTCCTTTCCTAGCATTTTCTCCGTATTCACTTGGACGTTTTAAAATTTAATAAGTTTTTGGGCCCACAACATCACGTTTTTTTAGAAATTTCTTAAATCTTCTGGCCGGATCGAAGACAATTATCAGTTTTCCCTTTCCAAGGAGAGGAATAAGGGGCATCGAATAATACCCTCCATGCGGGGGTTTTCAATTGGTGCACGGGAAGTGGAATCAAAATTCGTGAGTTGTCGGATCCACAACAAACAGCCACACACGACACCTCTCCGATATTCAATACTGTTTAGGGATTATTTTCTTCTCAGAAATACACAAAAAAGTTAAAAATCTTTTTTATATATAAATTTTGGAAAGATACTCGAAAATGAAATTGTCCTAAGTATTTTTAAATTTTAAATTTGGTACGAAGTATTGGATTAGCCAGTTATCCTCCATTTTGCCCCATGATTTCGTAGCGACCAGAACTTTGCCTTTTTGTCCCCAATAGGAGCCTCCCTGATTTCCTTGACATTGCGCATCTCCTTCATTTGCCGCTTCGGCCTTTTTGGTAATTCTTCTTTTTCGTTTTTCACTTCCCCACGCTATTTCCACTTTCACACCATTTCATATTCTTTCTCCATTTCGGTTTAATTTCTTTCCGCGTTATGTTTTTTCACTTCTTCCGCCATTCGGTCGGCCCTTCTCTGGCCATTTTCTCTTCTTTCTCTTCCATTTTGTTTCTTGACTACATTTACTGTTTTCCTCTGCCATTTTAATACTTTTGGTCTTCTTCCACCGTTCCTATTTTCCGTTTTTCTTTATTTCACATTCAGTGGTAATTTCTCTGTCGTTTATCTTTTCTTTACTTATTCCCTCTTTTTCTGGCCTTTTTTTCATCTTTAGCCAGTCCTCCTTCTCACACATCAATTCTCGACATCCAATTTTCGGCGGCCTTCAAGTCTTCCTTGCGCCCTTCCCGATGTTGTTTTCTCCCCTTACTTTTCCTTCCCTCGCATCCCAACGCTTTGCAACTCCCCTCTTTCCCGCTCCACTTTGTCACTCTTTACAAGCTGTCGATTATGACGTGTTGCTCGCCGTCGCATCAATTTAACTGCTTGCGACGCACCATGCTTCTGACCTTCCACAAATACGAGAATTTTTATTTCTGGCCTTCTCTTTCACAGGATAGAGGAAGTTTTGTAACCGTTAGCGTGGAAATACCGCTTTGTTTTTTTTTGGACAGAAAAGCTGTTTTATGTTGGGTTTCTGGTAAACGAAATGTTGATGAACTTGTTCCACCCATGTTAAACAAATTTACCTTTTAACTCGTTGATAGTTCATAATTTCCTTCTTTTGTGGGTGCTTGATACTGAATAAAGAATTGTCGGCAAAACGTTAATTCCGCCTGTCTGTCTGAATGTTGAATCGT